CCTGCCCTCAGTGCTGGTCCTAGCAGCAAGGTACCGAGGACTCCAGCTATCTCACTTAATCTCGGAATCTTAAATGTTTATGTAGAGAAAGTACAACTGACTCATTCATCTAATTGCTTCCAAGAGGGACAGGGAAAGCTCAGAGTCGCCAGGCCAACATCGTCCAGGGGCTGGTGCCCAGAACCGGCCCTGCAGGCATAGCCGGAGGATGATGTCAGGGCTTCCCAAAGCGGGTCCTTGTCACTGCACCACCTGATGTGTCTACAGGGACAATAGCCTGTGCACCACACTCCGGCGGCTCCCAGGGGGACTCGTGCCTGGGGAGAGATCTGAGCGGAGGCCCAGGGTCACAGCACAAAGCCAACAGACTGGGTTGTTCCTGAGGCAGCCCCATAAGGTGACCTTTGTGCCTCTCCACGTGAGCCTGGCTTGAACCAGGAGGGAGAGGGAGTGACAAGCAGCCTTTCCCAGGACTCTCTGGCCCTGGGGAGTGTCTGTCTTGGCTTTCCTAGGACGACCCTGTGAGGACAAGCCAGTTTTTCTAGCCCTGGAGTTGCACTGATCTTTGCCAAGCTGAGGGCCAGACAAACCGCCTCCTGGGTGGTCTTGTTTATTTTTGATAATGGCAAACTTGCGACAAGTGGCTACTCCTAACAAAAGCAATAACTGTCATCACCACGGCTAGAAAGGATGGAACTCTTGCCCGTCCAGGGACTGGGCTCAGCATTTCATACCCGTTCCGTTGTTTTAATCCTCAAAACCTTGAGTGGTAATAACTATGGCCGCTATTTTCATCTTAGAGATGGGGACCCTGAGGCTCTGGGAGGTTCAATAACTTGCCAACAGACTCTAGCACTGGGGGGGTAGGACCAAGAAACAAACCAAGACCGCCGGAGTCCAGAACTGAAGTCGATCCATCTCTGAAGGAAGCCACTGTTCTTGGCTACCAGCGCCTCTCAGCTGTTCTGTTTCTCCCACCAACGGGGGCTGAGCCGGGTGTGCAGCTGTGTGGGGGGCACACTCCAAGCCACTTGGTCACAAATCCAAGGCACTTGCAGCCCTGAGACAGTGGTGATTGGCAGCCCTCCCCCTCCGCCCCGAGGCAAGGTCTTTGTGCCTGCACAGTAACTACATGGTCCTCAGTGACATATGCTGACCTGGCACGTGGGGCCTTTTAGGGATCAGACAAAAAGGAGTCCCATGTGGGGCATTTGTCCTCACCCTGTTGGCTCATCCAGGTGTAAAGGACTCCCCCATATGTGGTTGCATGAACGCATGGCTTCTCTGTTGACTTAGAAAAACCTCTTTAATTGATTGCCTGTCACTTGATAAAGTAACTCCCGGAAGCTGTGTCTCTCAGGAATTGGCTCCCAAAATAATCCTGTCTCTTGGTGGGCGGGAAATCTCTTCCTCCCCTTCCCATTGCCGCTCTGCCTGTTCGCCACTCCGTTAACGTCCCTTTCACTTCCCCCACCCAGGAAGGTCAAGTGTCCCCTCCCTGTCTGTCGTCCTGCCCATGGCTGGTGGTCATTTCACACTCGACCCAATCCCGCCTCCTCCAGGAGTCTCCTGGACCTTCTCCACGTTGAGATCTCCTCCGTCTGTCCAGGACGGCGCTCGCCAGGCGGTTCTCGTCCTTGACAAATGTCTCTGATGGTGTCCCATGGAGATCAGCTCTTCCCGACATCATAGCTGATTTTTCTTCCGCTTCTCTCCTTCTCCTAAAGCGGGAAGGTTGGGTGGGGATGAAATAACCAGGGAATGCTCTGTCCAGCACTAGGGAAAATGGGACAGATGCCCAACTCCTTTGTTCCAGATACTCCACTTGGAGACTTTTCCACATCATCCTAGTGCCTCGATCCAAGGTCACCAGATTGCCAGATGCCCAAGTGGGAAGGGCAGGCTGAGTAACCAGTGGCAACAATGGCGCTTCCACAATCCTTCCAACCCTCTTCTGAGACAAGTCCCCATGAAATCATCATGACCACCCTCCCCAGAATGTCCCCCCTTCTCCAGCCTCACAATCCTGGTGTCACCATCTGTCCCTTACATCTCAAAAACTCCAGTACAAGATGCTGTGGAATCTGGAGATATCCTTAGTGCATTGTGTGCAGAAAAAAGAGAGAGGCATTTTCTCTGCTACCTCCCCCTTCTGTTACCCAGTGGGTGTTCCCTAAATGCTGCCACCTGATGGCTTCCAGGAAGGGTAGTGGGTTTTCCCCCCCTCTGGTAGTGGCTCTGAGCATTCACACTGCCTCTTGTAACTTTTCCACTCACATGTTAGAATATTTGGACACCTCTGTGCTGTGATGAACTTCCTCTGATGTGTGCATATTTGGGATGTGATCCTCGGTGTGGGTGTGGGTGAGATGGTGGGGTCCACGGGGTGGGGGAGTCTCTGTCCCATGGAGGATGAGATCTCATGGAGAAGCTCTATACCCAGTTTGACCAAGGGCAGTCAGGAGGGAATACCATAAAGCTTTCAGATGGAGGGTCCTGTCCAGCAGAGACCGGCTGCCCAAGTTACATGCAGGGCTCTCTGGGGATGGACATGATGTCAGCTCAGGGCATGTGCCAAGCAGATCCAATGGAATGCTGTGATTTCTGGGGTGGGAAAGGCTTAACGTCCTCCACCACCCTCCTGTGTCTCCCTGGCCCTTAATAACACAGGTAAGCCTTTGAACAGGGACAAAGCCTTTAATTCCACCAGCAGAAGGTAGGACTTGAAATTTCAGTGACAAATAAAGGTTTATTTGTAGAGCCCATGGTTCCCTGTAAGAGAAGTAAGTAATCCAGTAATCTTACTGGATTCCCTGTAAGAATCCAGCGTAAGGCTGGATTCTTAAAATAGAAAGGCGAGTGTTTGAGAGTACTGAAGGGGGGAAGAATGACCCCCGATCTCAAATAAAAAAGGTGGCATTTATCAAATACCCAATGAAACCCCTCCCTTAGGAAACAAATGGGTTGCTGACATAAATGTCCAAAAAAGCTAGAATTTATTTATTTCAGGTAATAGGTAAACAAATCTTTTACATTATTCTCTGTACTTTTTTCTTATTTCAAATTTTTTATGGTTGAAAAAAAGGACACCTCTGAAAATAGAAGTTGAAAAATAAAAACTTTCCAACAACACAATGGAATACTGTGTAGCTGTTGCCAAAAAAAAAAATTTTTTTTATTTTTTTTAAACTTTTATTTATTTATTTATTCATGAGAGACAGAGAGAGAGAGAGAGAGAGGCAGAGGGAGAAGCAGGCTCCCAAGGAGCAGGGAGCCCGATGCGGGACTCGATCCCAGGACCCTGGGATCATGACCTGAGCCGAAGGCAGACGCTTAACCATCTGAGCCACCCAGGCACCCCCAAATTTTTTTAATTGAGGACTGTCTCTGTGTGCCCCCAAGGAAAGGACTCTAAGTAACACTGTAGCGAGAATAAGGCAAGCTTCAGAATATTTTACCAGTCCTGTCTAAGTGAAATACTTTGTGCCTGTGTGTATGTTTCATTGTATGTATAGAACTAGATCTAGAAGAGGCACCAAATCATTAACAAGAAGTGGGATGAATGCATACGTTAGGCATCTTCATATGGTATGAATGGTTCTCGTAAGTAACCATTACATTTAGCATCATAGAAAGGCACTTATAAGTTTATAAACAGTCCTTGAAGTGGTGGAGCAACCACGCTGGCCCCCAAGTCCTTCCAGGTTGGTGGGATGCCCCGTGGCGGCGGGGGTGGGGGGTGGGGGGAGCAGCAACTGAAATTTCCACCTGTCCTGTCCTTTCTGGCTCTTTCCCGCTTTGACACTTGGATGTCTGGAGGGTCCGTGACAGATGCCAGCAGTGGTGGTGATGACAAGCCCCAAAGCACACTTGTTCCATTTCTTGCTGCTCCTTGCTGCTTTTCCAATCTCCACCGTGAAAGCTCCCCTCTCTTATCTGCCCAAAGCAGGAGTCAAAAGTTCTTGTCCGTGTGATTGCAGAATGCCGGGCTGGGAAACTTCCGATAATACCTAAATTCCTTTAGAAGAGCCGAGCCTGGGATCAGGTCAGAAGCGTTTCTGGGGCCTGAGCACATTTTGTACCGTGTAGCTGGATAATAAACCAGATACAATTTGGCAATGTAAAAACAAACAAAAACCCATAAGGGACGTATAAGGATGTCATTGTAGTCCCACCTGATTGGATAGCCCCTTTCCCCAAGCTGATGAACCTGCTCCCCTCCAAAGGCCATGCAGGCTTCTGAGGAAGAATTTCTGCCTTCCCAGCTATTGAGGGTTTCCAAAATAGACACAGAGCTAGGAAGCATACAAAGGAAATCCAAATAATAATAATTTAAAAAGATCACGCTGCAGTTTCTGGGACATATTTATGGCTTTTATAATCAGCTGTGCGTTCGTTGAAAGGGGCGTCGTGACACTGGGTGACATGAGCTAATTCTGACATTTAGGAATTTAGACTCAGTAGCAGGTCTGGCTTATCCTGAAGAGCGAAGTTTGCGAAACACTTTGTGCTGTGTGCCCTGCTTTATATTTGAACGTGATGCTAATGGCACGTTGTCATTTCAGTTCTCTGTCTCGTCGTAGAACCTGAGGGGACGGGCACCCTCCCACTGCGATCTCCTTTGGCCTCGTTCTGTATCCAGTGGCCCCTTTCTTTCTTTCATCTTCCCTGTGTTTCAGAAAGATAACGGGTCTCACGTCCAAAATGTGCAGGAATGGATAAACCTGAAGATAAACTTGACCAAGCGACGGGAGACCTTTAATATGCCCTGCATTCTTCCCTGCCAGATGTATCCCTTTTATAAACACAAGTTCCCATTTGGAGTAAATCGATGAGATGCCACATAAAGTTAAAACCTATCTTCACTCTTACCTTGCACTAGATACAGATCGAAGGAGATAGATGTTTGCTCCTGGTAGGGATGCCACGGCGAAGCATTTCCAGAAAGCCCTTTAGTGTGCCTCAGCCACTGACCCCATTCTTGGATTTTACCCCATCAGGTAACCAGGTGAGTTTTTCCAAATCGGCAGATGCATTTGCCTTCGAAGAGGACAGCAGCGGTGATGGGCTTTCTCCGGACCAGGCTCGAAGCGAAGACCCCCAGGGCTCAGCGGGATCCCCTGCAGACACTAAAGCTTCAGAGACCCCTTTGGCGGGTCCTCTGGGGCCAGTCCAGGTAAACAAATCCCACCTCAGCCGACCGTGTCTTCATGGGCTTAAAAGCACCATGATACAAAATAGTCATTGTCACACCCTTCTGCACACCATGAAGGGAGCAAAGCTGGGACTGCCAAGGAGAGGATGTGGAATGGGAGCAAACCGAGAGCTAACAAGCAGATCCATACGTTTACTGTGCACGGGTTTATACTCGAAGCACCTTCCGTTTCCCTGCGTGCCACACCTGGTCTTTGCAGCTCAGCTTCTTTGATAGCAGCAGACAGTATCTCAGATCACTTATATCTGTTATTCTGATGGTAAATTCCTCAGCTTCTGATTGAAGAATGGTTTCAGGAGAAGACAAGTTCTTTTCCGCTTAACCCAGGAGAAGGGGTCAAAGGGAGCGAGCACAGGGCGATGCCAGGCCCAGGGCAAAAATCATCTTGTCCTTGCACCCAGCAGTCCCAGGTAGTGGATCAGGACACTGAGGCTCGAGAGGAAAGGGTTCTGCAGACCTTTGCAGGTTCCAGGGCTCAGGAAAGGGTGGGTAAGCTCCAGGGGGAGAGTATGAGCAGCCCCTGTCCCTTTTGGTCACAGTATCGGATTGCAGGAGAGGGACAGAAGACAGTTACCCTTTTTCCCAGTCCTCCATGGACAGAAACATGTCTCTCATAAAGGTTGTTCATGACACTACACCCACCCACACACACACACACACACACACACATGCACAAAGCTATGCATATATGCACACACACATATATAGACACATTCACACATGCAGACCCATGCACACACGAACATACGTATACACACATATGTAGGCAAACATACATGTATACACCCAGAAACATACACACACTCATGCATTTCCCCTCCATCTGCTAACACCATTTTTATCGGTTCTTTTGGTCCTACTTTCCCCCAACATTCCTACACCTACTCCTCCCTCTTTCTTTTTTTCATCAGTCTCCTTCATCAGTCTCCTTATCAGGTCTGTCACAGGTGGAACCCTCACACAGGGTGACCAGCTGTCTGGGTTGGCCTAGAACAGGCCATTTCTATTCCTGTCTTCTGAAATAATGATAAATGACGACCCCTTTATCTCTCAAAAGTGACCTCAGTTGGTTGACAAATTATATATGACTCCTTTCCCCAGGGAGGTCGTGTGATATGTACTTGGATATGAAGTGAAGATGAAAACAATAGAGCCGTGTAGGTGGCTGGGGTTGGGGGGGGTTCTACTTTATCTCTGCCTCGTACCGTTTTTCCTCCTGCATCCGACTCATGCTGAAATTTGGATTTCAGGATCATTCTTCTGGCTCCGAAAATGACAGGAAAGACTCAGCCTCCCAGCCCAGCAACCAGTCAGACACGGGGACACAGGGGCTCGGCCCTCTTGGTAACCCCATCGCTGTGCACGCTGCCGTGAAGGTAGGGACAGACCAGCCTCCCGGCACCTGCCTGAGCGCTCACCCACAGGGCCCACTGGGAGCAGAGCTCTTGGAGTTAGGTGTGGTGGTGCAGTGGGAGTTAGGTGAGGAGAGTCACACGGACCCGTGTGTAGGCTCAGTCCGCCAGGAGCGTTGCAAGTCAGGAGAGGAGAAAGGGGCCATCCGTGTATGAGAACCAAGAGTCTGTTATGTGTCGGCACAGTGTGGGTCTTCCCCGCAGAAGAAAAACCCATGTGCCTGCATTTCTTTGGAATCACAGCTCAGCCAGCACGTGTGCCTGACTTAAAAGACTTCATAAGGTCAGCCTAGAGACCGACGCAGCTGATGGGAACGCACACAGGATTTGTAAATGTCATCAAATAGGTGGGAGGCGGGGAGTTGGGTTTTATGCAGGGGAAGCAGATCTGCAGACTTTGCGTCATATAATACCTCGATCATGTAAGCCTGGCTCCCTTTGGAGATAAAGGGAGGGGTTGTCTGCACAGTAGACCATAAACATCATAGCAGATTGTTGGTTAACTTTTCTTCGCATTATACTTACTAGTTCACAGAGGACTCTCTCCTCTTACCAATTAAATGCCTGCTAATAATCATTTGGTCTTCTTCATAATATTTTATCCCAAATAACTTACTAGTTTAGTTTTGTTTTGTTTGGCGGGGCCGGGGGCGGGGAGGAGCAGTGAGAGAGGGAGAGAAAGAATCTTAAGCAACCTCCGCACCCAGCACGGAGCCCAGCATGGGGCTCGATCTCACCACCCCTGAGATCATGACCTGAGCCGAAATCAAGAGTCAGACGCTTAACGACTGAGCCACCCAGGCGCTGCTATCCCAAATAACTTCTCATCAATTTGGGAGCAAGTTATCTCAGCTCTAGGGTCATCACTTAATAACAGCTGAGATGTCTTTTATGAAATATTTTTCAAAAGATCGTAAGTTAAGAATCAGTGCTAAAGTAACAGCCACAGAGTCCCTTCCATTGCATGCATATACACAAAAGTGGCCAGCAGGACTTTCAGTTTCCTGTAAATGTCCCTAAACCTCGCTTCAAATTCACTCCCTAAGTAGCTTAAACCTCGCTTACAATTCACTCAGCCCAGCAGCTTTGAAATTACACGACTGTTGATGAACTTTGTTCACTGCCGGTGGAGGAAGGAGATGGTTCACGTTATTTCTACTGTCATGTACGAAGAGAAATTTTATTACTATTTCTACCAATGTGTTTAAATTTTGCATAAGCCAAATTAGCACCTCCTTCAGCCTCAGTGCACTAAGGACACGTGATAGTTGCCCAGAGGAAAGACAGGTCAGTTTCAACGGAGAGCAGGATTGACAGGTAACTGATCTAGCGGGACTGGTTGTTTATATAAGAGCCAGTCTCCCTGCTGATTGGTCAATGTCTATGAATTCTCAGTTGTTCGATACTCATCATCTCTAAATGAAGAGGATACTACAGGGCTTCTCAAAGAACGAAGCAGCCCAGCTCCGGGGAAACATCTCTGACCTATTGACTTTCCAAGATACATATGCGACCACTGAGAGAATGCACAAGAATTCCCCCAAAACTGTAAAATCCTATGTAAGGGAAAGGTGTGCTCAGTGCAGGCTCCTAGAAGGTATATATCAAAGCTGCATAAAACACGATTCCTGGGGCGCCTGGGTGGCTCAGTCGGCTGAGCGTCTGCCTTCAGCTCAGGTCATGATCTTGGGGTCCTGGGATAGAGCCCCGCATCAGGCTCCCTGCTCAGTGGAGAGCCTGCTTCTCCTTTTCCCTCTGCCCTACCCCCTCATTCGTGCTCTCTCTCTCAAAATAAATAAAATCTTAAAAAAAAAAAAAGATTCTTGCTTTCAAGGAGCCTATAGTCTAATTGAGTATCATAGCCACCACTAACCCAAACAGTGTTGGGAGCAAGTAAGAAAAACATGCCACAGAGGACCTGAACAGGCATTTCACCAAAGATAAAGAAATTGCCAATAAGCACATGAAGAGGTGTTCAGTGTCATTAGTCATCAGGGAAATGAAACTCAAACTCACAACAAAATACCACTTCACACCCACTAGAATGGCTATCCTGGAAAATGGCAAGTATTGGTGAGAATGTGGAGATTGGAGCTCTCACACATGGTGCGTCCACTACAGAAAACAGCTTGGTGGTTCCTCAAAAAGTTAAACCTAGCATTACCATATGACCCAGAAATTCCTCTCCTTAGGCATATGCCCCACAGAATTGAAAACAGGTGTTCTAACGAGATCTTGGATGTGAATATTCATGGCTGCACTATTCACAATAGTCAAAAGTTGGAACGAACCCAAATGTCCATCAGCTGAAGGATGGGTCCATGTGTGGCATATCCACACAATGGGATGTCCTTCAGTTATAAAGAGGAATGAAGTCTGACACAGAAATGAGCCTTGAAAACATGATGCTGAGTGAAAGAAGCCAGACACAAAAGGCCACATGGTGTAGGATTCCATTTATATGAAATATCCTGAATAGGACAAGTCCCTGGAGACGGAGAGCATCTGAGTGTTGTCCGGGGACCACAAGAAGGAGAATGGGGAGGGGCTGCTTCATGGGAATGGGGTTTCCTTTTGGGGTGATGAAAATTTTCTGGAACTACTTAGTGATGATGCTTACCCAACACTGCGAATCGTATACTTTAAAATAGTTACTGGGGTGATTTCTCTGTTACTTGTGTTTTACCGAGATACAGAATGAGAGACCCCTTTCTTGGGGGGGGCACCACCTCCATCAGGACTCGTAGCATAAGAAGCAGAACAGGGGCTGGACTTCAGTCTCCCCCCACCCCCTGAGCAGGGTATGCAGTGGTGGACCATTATCAGACAGCCCCGAAATGCCATATGAGACCTGCAAATGAGAGACCTCACTGTGAATTGGGAGAGGCTTCCCAGGGGAGCTGGGGGGTGAGCCAGACGCAGAGGATGAGCCCTAGTTGGGTAGCAGGTGCAGGAGGGAATTGCAGACAGCAGGAAATTGCAAGGAAAAGAGACCAGAGGGGAGGCTCTCGGGTGGGAGGGGTCAGGCAGCTGGGTGAACGGTCTTCTTTGGCAGAGGAGGTTTGGGACTTTGTCTTGCAAGGCAGGACAGGCAAACTGACGGTGGGCTGCTGGGTGGTACATTGTGGGGCAGGCCCAGGATGCGAGCAAGACTTCTTGCAAAAAAGTCACGAACCTCTAGCCACAGACCACGCCATGCCCTCTTGCACTACACTGCCCTGCTTTACACATTCACGCGTGGGTCTTAAACCCCTGGATGATATATCTACCTCCCATAGGCCATGCAGTTCTAGGCAGAAAATAGAAACAAACAAACAAACATACCACCTTGTATCCTCTGGTTTCAAAAAGAGTATAAAACTATACAGTCCATGGAATCAGGGTTCCATGGGCTCAAAAGACTTTGCCTTCCACTCTCCAGAGAAGGCGGTCCAATTTGAGTAACTTCTGGAATGCTCAGCATCCCTGTACTAAGGCAACATGGAGAAAAAGCTCCCCGTCCCTGACTGGCCTGCAGCTCCCCGAGACGAGGAGGCAAGTCCTAGGGTGAGGTGGGAACAGAAGCTGAGCTGGAGCAAAGCAGGGCTGAGCTGATGGCAGGAGCCCTGCAGAGATTCTCCCGAGAGTGCAGGAGACTGATTGATTAGCTAGAATGCTAATCAATGAAGGAGCAGGGAGAAATCGAGCCACCAGGCACACGGGAATTCTTATGCTCCTTATCTATTACTTCCCGAGAAGAAGCCTCCTTAAGAAAACGTTTACAAAAGAGGCTTCGGTGGTGGGATGCCTGGAGTCAGAGAAATGCAAGTTGTAGGCTCCAGATGTGTGCTTTGTGGTTAAAATGGGGGGAGCCGCCAGGTGGGAACCTGCCAACCAGGTATTCTGGAGCTCCCTCTTCTGGACGCTGCTGGTATCACACCTCCCCTGCACCTTTCCCCCAAATCCTCAAGATGCTGGTCATGACATCCATGTTCTTCATTTCAGGCCTCTCTAATTAAAATCAGGGCTGGAAAGTTAAGATTTTTCTTTCAACTGATGACAGTATGGACTACTGCCTTTTTCAGTGTGTCCAAGTCACGCTGTGGGATGGGAAGCTTCTAGAAGGGTCCCAGTGGGTGGCTAACCCTTCTCATAGTAAGTCAAGTATCATTAATCTCAGAGGGTGTCAGCTCCTGGGGTTACATCCGTATTTGGGGTGTTGGTGGGATGGGGGAATCTATCTGACTTTTCTGCCCAAATCTGCAAAAGTCCCCATCAAAGACAAACTTAATTTCATCCAAGGTGCCGTCATTCATAAGTCAATTTACCGAGTGCTTCACTAAAGGCGATTTCATGTATACGTAGGAAGGAACTTCTTACGACTCCATCTCAAGATCAGATTTTGTCCTTTGCTAGGCCATCTGTTGGTTTTAGCCGAGGAAAGCATCCTAGCCGAAACGTAGGCTTCTGTCTTACTCTGCGCTGGGAAGGAAATGCTCCTGGAGCCACATCTGAGATTCATGCCCCGCCCCCCTTCTAGAGTGAGGCACCTGCAGTAGATCCGTTGAACAGATACCTCAATGCCCCAGGATCTCTTGGCACCTTGTGCCTTTGCTAGATCGTATCTCTGGGATTCGAGAAAGCCCATTTTAACAGAACCTCCTCCCGATCTAGCCATGGCATCCAGCTTTTCCCCCCTTCCCCCACCCCCCACCTAAAGCACGTGCCATTTCTTCACCCCCTTTGCAGTCCAAGTCCTTGAGCGACAGTAAGAACCGCCACAAAAAGCCCAAGGACCCCAAGCCCAAGGTGAAGAAGCTCAAATATCACCAGTACATCCCCCCCGACCAGAAGGCAGAGAAGTCCCCTCCGCCCATGGACTCGGCCTATGCCCGGCTACTCCAGCAGCAGCAGCTCTTTCTGCAGCTCCAGATCCTGAGCCAGCAGCAGCAACAACAGCACCGGCTCGGCTACCCCGGGCTTCACCAAGCTCAGCTCAAGTAAGTTGGGAGGGCCCGGGGCGGGGGGCTCCTCTGTGTCTGAGGCACAGGGGGGCCAGCGCCCAGAACCCAGCCAGTCCCCGATGGCACCCCGTCCTCATCTGGTAGGTGTAGAATGGGACTCTGCTTAGGAACCATGCCCACCTTTTCCGGAGCAGAAGGCCGGGAGGAAGCAACGAAATCGATGCCCTGGTAAGAGGTATGGTTGGGGAAAGAGAAAGGATTAGCGCTCTCGAACTGAATCGTGGAGCAGAGAGGAGAAACCGTCTCAGAATGGTTCCATTCCTTGGATTCACTCGGCCCTTACGCTTTAGGAAGCAACAGACCTGAGTGACTGAGTGATGGCCAGCCCCGAAGTTTGACTCTGGGACCCCAGCCTGTGACCCCCACGGCAGGTCACCTTTTAAATGGGCCATTCCCTTCAACTCTGAAGTTGGGGTGTGGGTTCCCACACCTGTCTCTGCTCAGCCTCAGGTCGGGTTGGCAATGATGCTGAGTGCTGGATACAGCCATGCTTTATGAGGGGTGCTCCTGCCACCCCCCCAGGACACTCTTCACTATGCCACAGTCTCTACTGCTCCCGCCTGTCTCCCCAGAGAGAGTGTCACTTGCCACTTGGCAACAAGCCTGCACTGTTGGTGTCCTTGCCCCGCCTCTCCCACTGATTGATTTATTGCCTGATCCTTGCAGGCCATTAGCTTCTGACCTGATCTAAATGCAAAGCTACCCACCAAGGGTTCTGGCCACCCAATCCCAGTGTGTGCGGGAGGCTTTCCCCACATCACCAGCCGGGTGCCCTATAGTTCCACACAATTCTGGCACCATCTACCTGGACAGAGAGCATCAGACCCCACAGGTTAAGGGCTCAGTCCTACAAGACTGCCCCCCCCTTCCCCAACTTCAGTTGCCAACCGCAAGTCTAAAAGTTGTGACCTGGGCTTCTGGTTGGCAGGGCTGTAGATCAGAGCTTCCCACGATTTCTTCCTTGGGTTCCATTAATTCGCTAGAGCGGCTCACAGATCTCAGAGAAACACTTGACTTACGAGATCACTGGTTTGTTATAAAAGGATGTAACTCAGGAACCGCCAGATGGAAGAGATGCACGGGGCAAGGGATGAGGAAAGGGCAAGGAACTTCCATGCCCCCACCCCAAGCATGCCACTCTTCTTGTTCTCCATGTGTTCACCAACCTGGAAGCTCTCTGAATTCCATTCTTTTAGGTGTTAGGGAGCCTGCATCAGAGGCATGATTGATTAAATCATTGGCCACTGGTGAATGAATCAACCTCCAGCCTGGCTCCTCTCCCCAGAGGGCAGGGGGTGGGACTGAAAGTTTCAGCCTCAAATCACAGGGTTGGTTCTCAGACAACCAGCCCCCATCCTTAGGTGACCTAGGGGCTTTCATAAAGTCGCCTCGCTAACCTAACAGATGACAACCCTGTGGCTCTCATCACTTAGGAGATTCCAAGGATTTTAGGAGCTCTGTGCCAGAGAGAGGGACAAGGACCAAATGTGTAATTTCTTATTGTAAATCCCGGTACTACACCCCCATATATCTATTTGGCCATATTTTAAGTGCCTCTTTTTTGTTTGTTTTTCAGGGAGCCAAATGAACAGATGGTCAGAAATCCAAACTCTAGTTCAACACCACTGAGCAGTACCCCTTTGTCTCCTGTCAAAAACAGCTTTTCTGGACAAACTGGTGTCTCTTCTCTCAAACCAGGCCCACTGCCATCAAACCTAGATGATCTGAAGGTATAGGATTTGGTGTGTTTTCCTTCCTTCCTGTCCTTCCTTCCTCCGTGTCCTTCAACAAATACATCAGTAGATTTTTTTAACATTTTCTTTTTAAGTAATCTCTACACCCAACATGGGGCTTGAACTCACAACCCCGAGATCAAGAGTCGTATGCTCCACTGACTGAGCCAGCCAGGTGCCCGGACAAATCCATCAGTAGCTTTTTAACAACATTTTCCCCAACTGAGTTCTTGAATAAAACAGTGGGAGGGAGAAGGTTAGGGGAGATTCAAATAGATGATAAAATCTTAACTGCTGTGGTTGAGTAACCCACCCCCCATAGGGCAGAAGACCCTGGGCTTCTAAATCAGCTCTTTCACTGGCTATGCAAACTTGGGTTCATTTCTTAATTTCTCTGCATCTTAGATTGCTCATTTGCATACATGAGTTCTTGTGAGAACCTGATGGAATCGTATATACATGACAGAGGGTACCGCAGAGTAGCTATAAGATTGATGTGGGCTTCCTGAATATTCTAAACCAGCAGTCAATTCCATGATGAATTTTAACCAGTCTCTGGTGAAATGAGAAAAACAAGAACCACATAAAGGGCTTTTCATAAATCTAAGTGTGCTCGGCATACCTTGACGGATCTTTATTCAAAGTATTTATTTCCTCCCGAAGTTTGGAATCTAAAGAAAGACCCTGTTTGGAAATGATGACAGTAGTGGGTGGAAGTGGAATGTTTCTGGTAGACTTTTGTTTCTTTCTATTAAGCAGGGGTATTATTAAATAAGGTTGTTAGTCTTGTGTAACAAGACGAAATGTTGGTAACCCAACCTCAACTGCATCAACTGCATAATTTGAAACAATGTACTATTCTGTGAAATCCCCAAGTCTGAGAATTTCTGCCCTGAAATGTGACAGCAACATGTTAAATGCTGTGTGGGGGGAGCAGTGTACTCTGGATCACAGACCTCAGGGATCTCAGTTCACCGAGATGACCCTGGGCTTTGAGCTAAACCTCGCGCATTCCAGAGCGGTGATCGCGATCGGCGTATTCATCCATCCAGTAATTACAAAAGAACTGGAGAAGGCAGTGTGTGGTGCCTTCAACTTCTCTAATGTGTGAACACCTGCTCCCCTCAACACCTCACTCCATTGTCTGTGATCTCACCTATTACTCTTCCCTCCCCCAAAGGACCTTATCACTTTTCCCCCAAAGAGCCAATTTCCTACAGGTCTCCATGGTCTTCACTGGGCCAGGATTTCTCGGGCCTTATTTGTCACCCTCCATTCCCATTCTCAGTCTTTGGTCATTATCTGTCTTGGGGGAAAGGTGGGAGTGGATGAAAGAAAATTAATTCTATGGCTGCCAGTGGCCAACACCAGTCAATAAAATACATCTTGGGTTGTGATATCAAGAGTTCCTCTGTCCCTTCCACTTGGAATAAAAATGTTTCATTGAGCTCGTTCCGATTTAGCATCCATGAGGCTGGAGGAGGATGCCAAGCTTCTGGTAACGGGTCACCCACCCTTCACTCCCCAGGTCATAAATCCATGAAGGTATAAAATTAGGTCCTCTCACCCAGACAACAATATGCTAAATGAAGTAAGCCAGGCACAAAGGGACAACTATTCTGAGTCTACTTGTATGAGGGACCTAGAAAAGTTCAAAGACAGAAAGTAGAAGGGTGCTTGCCAGGGGCTTGGCAGAGGAGGAATGGGGTGTTAGTGTGTAAACGGTACATAGGTTCTGCTCGCAATGAGGAAAATGTTCTGGAGACAGATGGTGGTGATGTTTGCACAACAGTGTGAATGCGCTAATTCCACTGAACTGCACGCTTAAAAGTGATTTGGATGGTATATTTCATGCCGTACATCTTTAACCAGAATAAAAAAGATTTTTCAGATGCTCCTGGCTGGCTCAGTGGGTGAAGCATCTGACTCGTGATCTCAGCTCAGGTCTTAATCTCAAGGTTATGAGTTCAAGCCCTGCATTGAAAAAAAAAAAAAAAGATTTTTTAAAAAGTAATCTACCTTAGAATGGGAGCCCGGGGTCAGGTAGTTGCCTAGACCCCAGACAGCGTAGTCTAGATGTGATGTGCCGTCTGGCAGAGCCTCCAAAGATGGTCTCCTCCGTGTGCACATGTTCAGAATGATTGGCTGGTTCGATATATAATAATAAATTAGCGGGGGTACTAGGAAATGATGGGGGTTGCAGCTGCCAGTTCTGAGTGTAAACTATCAGTCGACCATCCTGTATAGATTTGCTTTCATTTTCACCCTGCAAGATAGGTTTTACATGTGAATATAAAAATCAGGACCTCAAAGATGCTAAATGAATAAGGCATATGACTCATTATCATGCTAGATATTTTTGATATTTGTCTTTATCATGAATGCTATAAAATGGTTTGCTGTATAGAACAAAGATATTGGGGTTTTTTTAAGATTTTATTTATTTATTTGAGAGAGAGCATGAGTGGGGGGAGGAGCAGAGGGAGAAGCAGACTCCCTGCTGAGCAGGGAGCCCGACGCGGCGCTCGATCCCAGGACCCTGAGATCATGACCTGAGCCGAAGTCAGACGCTTAACCGACCGAGCCACCCAGGTTCCCCTAGAAGAAAGACACTGTTGATAAACCTAACACCAACCCTGATAGCTCAGGTGAGAAAAGTGGAAGAAATATGTTGGTTCTATCAGGACATAGGTTAACATGTGAAAGAGATCCTTTTATCTCTACATTTTCTCCCGCACTTGGAGAAGCCACCCCAATCTCATCTGTTCATTTGACAACTTTGTCCTATGTTTCCAGAGCCCACAAGTCAATCCAGAATGCTGACATCTAAAAATAGACTTACATCTCCTTCTGTAGAAGCCTAAGAATCTTGACAGAATAAATAAGTTTGGTAAATTCATAGGATTTGGTTTTAGTCTCTCTGGTAACATTGATTGGTGTATTTTAAGAAGTTAAAGTAGGAAGTCTGGAGTTATATTTGGGAGACATATGACGCTTATCACATCAACCTCACATCCCTACATGGGTTGCACATTGTCAAGCTTGAGTGTCGATCAGTTGTGAGTTTATGGTTTATATTATAGGCATACAGTGCACTAAGATCATATACTAAGTGAATAAATGTCTTGCTTAACCCCCACCCCCAGAAAAAGAGACCAAATGCTATGCAAGTTAACCAGCCTATAGATGACAAAACTGGGGTTTGGACTTAAGTGAGTGATATTTTTTTTGTTTTTAATTTTATTTTAAATTCCATTGTAGTTAACATGCAGTGTTATATTAGTTTCAGGTGTGCAATATGGTGATTCGACAATTCTGTACAAAACTCAGAGTTCATCACAAGTGCACCCCTTGATCCCCATCACATATTTCTCCCATCGCCCCGCCACCTCCCCTCTGGTGACTATCAGTTTGTTCTTTATGATTAAAAGTCTGTCCTTGGTTTGTCTCTCTCTCTCTCTCTTTCTTTTGTTCCCTTTGCTTGTTTTGTTTGTTTCTTAAATTCCACATATGAATGAAATCACATGGTACTTGTCTTTCTCTGGCTGACTTATTTCGCTTAGCATAATACCCTCTAGCTCCATCCATGTGGTTGCAAATGGCGAGGTTTCGTTCTTTTTTATGGCTGAGTAATATTCCATTGTATACACACCACATCTTCTTTTTCCATTCATCTATCAATGGGCACTTGGGCGGCTTCCATAATTTGGCTCTTGTAAATAATGCTGCTATAAATATAGGGGTGCATGTATGCCTTTGAATTCCTGTTTTTGTATTTTTTTAGTAAATATCCAGTAGTGTAATTACTGGATTGGAGTGTAGTTCTTCTTTTAATTGAGTGATCTGAGGGGTTTTGCTACTGTCATTTGAAATGAGGATGGAGAAGGAGAAACCTTAATTGGACTTGACCACAGGGTGTATGGGGAGAGGTGTCACCTGGGATTGTGACACCAGGGGCAGAAACTGGGAGGGTACAATGGGGAGCTGATCTGAAGGGATGTTGGCAGGTGCATTCAGTTTGGGGAAATTGAGTCACAGCTACCACCAGGACAACCAAGAGGAAAAAGCTAGCCAGTTTCCATGCAGTTAGAGACACACTGACCTAGTTGTCAGGCCGGGCACAGAAATTTTGGAATCGTTTGCATAGCGGGATGGGTTGAAGCCACAACACCGAAAGAGACAGAAGGAGAGAAATTGGAAAGAGTGGGAAGTGAAGGAGTTGAGAAGAGGAATAAAGGAAGCAGGTGATATAACCATACCTTGGAAAAGGAAGAAATAGGAGGAATTAATGAAGGTGACCCTTAAAACAGGTCATCAGAAAGATAAGGTATCGAAGGTAGATGTTCTCCCAAAATGCTCATGTTTTGCTGATTAGGAGTAAAAGGGGAAAAGCACTAGGAAAAAAGTTTGATTTCTTTTTTTTTTTAATAATTTTTTATTGTTATGTTAATCACCATACATTACATCATTAGTTTTTGATGTAGTATTCCATGATTCATTGTTTGTGCATAACACCCAGTGCTCCACGCAGAACGTGCCCCCCTCAACACCCATCACCAGGATAACCCATCCCCTCACCCCCCTCCCCTCTAGAACCCTCAGTCTGTTTTTCAGAGTCCATCGTCTCTAATGGTTCGTCTCCCCCTCCGACTTACCCCCCTTCATTCTTCCCCTCCTGCTATCTTCTTCTTCTTCTTCTTCTTTTTTCTTAACATATATTGCATTATTTGTTTCAGAAGTACAGATCTGTGATTCAACAGTCTTGCACAATTCACAGTGCTCACCATAGCACATACCCTCCCCGATGTCTATCACCCAGCCACCCCATCCCTCCCACCCCCCACCACTCCAGCAACCCTCAGTTTGTTTCCTGAGATTAAGAATTCCTCATATCAGTGAGGTCATATGATTGATTTCTTATTAAAAACTTACACATGGAGGGCACCTGGGGGACATAGTTGGTTAAGCATCCAACGCTTAGTTTGGGCTCAGGGTCATGATCTCGGGGTTGTGAGATTGAGCCCTGTGTCGGGCTCTGCACTCAGCAGGGAGCCTGCTGGAGATTCTCCCTCTCCCTCTGCCCCAGCCCCCCGCTCCTGCTCACTCTCTCTCTCTCTCTCTCAAATAAATAAATAAATCTTTTTTTTAAAAGTTATACATGGTAACATCACAGTATATGTTTTGTTTTGTTTTTTCTTTTTTTGCTAATCCAGTATATGGATTTTTTTTCTTGTTTCTAAGAAACTTGAGAGCCAGAGAGCATGACAGCATGAGAGAGAGACAGAGAAAATAATGGGAAATTTAAAAACTGGGAAAATATGGTGGATATTAAGAAATAGTTGTTCATGTGTTTTGGGTGTGATAATGGTCTTTTATTGGTGTTTTTTATAAAATGCACTTATCTTTTAGAGAAAGATATCAGAATATTTACAGATCTCATTATATGAGTTGCTTCAGAATAATTTAGGAAATATAGTGGAAGTGGTTTAGGGTATAAATGAATCAGGATTGGGCATGGATGAATCATTGTTGACGCTGGTTGATGGGTACATGAGGTTCATTATACTTTTTCATCAACTTTTGTGTATGATAGACATCTCCATAACACATGGTTGAAAGAGTGATCAGCAATTAAAACACCACTGAGTATAGGAAAGAGGTGTATACAAACCTTTGTCCCAAGCAAGCCCACACAGCATAATACTCCAAAATGTAAGGTACATGAACGCAACAAGTATTTGTGTTATTTTGGAATATGAGCTGCATTATTTAATGATGTAGTTTAAAATATTCAGTGCCAGAACAGATTCTAAAAATAAATGTAGAACTCATTAATTTTAAGTAATTCAAAGTTAAAACAATAATGAGTTGCTATTCTGTACTTTTTCAAACCAGCAAATCTGGAAAGAAAAAAAAAAGATAAAACAATGCCAGAAAGATGGGGGGGGTGGTACCACTTGCAATAGTGTGAGTTCTTGTAATCCTTTTAAAATACCCTTTAAATGATTATAGAAGTAATTATTTACTGTTGAGACAGGATAGTGCAGGTAGAAATGAAGAGTATTTTAAAAGATAATTGACCCACAGATAAATTGCAGATTTTATTTCCCTATAAACTTAAAATACAGGTGGACCTGTTTTCTTTTAAAAATTATTGTTGAAAAAAAATTTTTTAATTATTGCTGTAAGGTAATCCTGTGAGCATGAATTTCTGACATGCTTTTTTGGTTAACATATCATAAGCATTTTCCATAACTTGCAATATTCGATACAATTTTTATTTTTTTTAAAGATTTTATTTATTTATTTGACAGAGAGAGACACAATGAGAGAGGGAACACAAGCAGGGGGAGTGGGAGAGGGAGAAGCAGGCTCCCTGCTGAGAAGGAACCCCATGTGGGGCTCGATCCCAGGACCCTGGGATCATGACCTGAGCCGAAGGCAGATGCTTAACCGACTGAGCCACCCAGGTGTCCCAGAATTTTTATTTTTCATAGCGTATCATTCTACCACCTAGTTAACAGTCCTGTGTCAGACACTTAACTTGCTTCCAAATTTTTGCTATTAAAAACATAATTTGTACATAAATTTATTAATGTATCCAATGACTGTCCCAGGCTAAATACCTGGGAGTAGAATTCCTGAACCAAAACATATTAACATTTTTTAAAGTTCTTACCTGGGGCGCCTGGGTGGCTCAGTTGGTAGAGCATCTGACTCTTGACCTCAGGTCTTGATCTCAGAGTTGTGAGTTCGAGCCCTGTGTTGAGCATGGAGCCTACTTAAAAAAAAAAAAAATACTAAAGTTCTTGCCAAAGAATACATATTGTAAAAATTTCTGTCCTGAACGTTTGTGCCAATCTACTGCCAGAAGCATTGGGCTGTGGCAACATTTATCAAGCATGAATATACACACTGGATCACCTGGGGCTCTGGGTAAAATACAGGTTCTGATTCAGTAGGTGTGGGGAGGGGGCCTGAGTGTCTGCATTCCTAACATGCTCCTGGATGCCCTTGGAGCTGTTGGTCCAAGGACCACACTTGGAATAGCAAGGCATTAAGGAATTTTCTGTAAAAAAACATTTTTATTTGCTTAGTTTTGCTGCTACTTCATTAACACAAAGTGTTATTAATTCCTTTGTCAATTTCACGAATGCAAAAATATGTCCGTATTTATTTAATTTGGATTACTAATGCTGGTACATGTCTCTTATTGCCATTTTTTTTTTTTTAATGTGTCTTTTGTGGGCACTTGGGTGGCTCAGTCGGTGAAGCGTCTTCCTCCAGTTCAGGTCATGATCCCAGGATCCTGGGATTGAGCCCCGCATGGGGCTCCCTGCTCAGCGGGGAGTCTGCTTCTCCCTCTCCCTCTGCTCCTCTCCCCTGCTCGTGCTCTCCCTCTCTCTCGCTCTCTCTCAAATAAATAAATAAAAATGTATCTTTTGTTTGTGAAGAGTTGCACCAGGCCTATTACCCATTTTGGGGTGTTGGTTTATTTTGGGGGTTTGTTAAAGCACACTTAGTACATGGAGCTTACTAATACTTTATTATTTGTCCTGCAATTATTTTTGTCTGAGACTGCTATCTGCATTTGCATTTTCTTTTTGGTGTTTTTGACTTAGAGGGTTTTTTTTACTTTTGTCATCAATATTTTTAAAGTTGCTTTCTTTGCTTTTAGGCTCAAAAGATCTTTCCCTACAGAATATCAGAAGAATATTTGTTCTTCTAGCTATTTTATGGGATTATTGACACTTAGATATTTAATGTTTCTTGTTTTAATTACAGAAGTAATATCTTATGTGAAATATTTAGGATGTTAGAGATAAGGAGAACCATTGTTAACATTTTAGTCTATCTTTATCCACATATTTTCATCAGCAAGCATAGGTTTAAATATACACACACATACACACAAATTTATATAATTCTTAGAAAAATAGAATCAAACAATTCAAACTGTTTTTCATTTATTAATATACCAAAAACGGGGGGGGGCACCTGGGTTGCTCTGTTGGTTGAGTGTCTGACTTCCGCTCAGGTCATGATCTCAGGGTCCTGGGATCGAGTCCAGCATCCGGCTCCTTGCTCAGCGGGGAGTCTGCTTCTCCCTCTGCCTGCCACTTCCCCTGCTTGTGCCCTCTCTCTCTCTCTCTTTCTCTCTCTCTCAAATTTTAAAAATCAAGAAAAAATAATATACCATAAATAATTATTCATTATTGTATATAACATCAGCTTTAATGGATTCAGGTATTCCATCATTCATAGTCATGATTGTTAATTTAGTTCCCATATTTTTAGATATCTGCAGCTTATCATTTATGAACATTGTAAAAAATGCAGGATGAAATTATCACACGTGAATCAACATAACAATGGCAAACTCTTACACCACACTAACCATTTGCTAGACACTATTCCAAACACTTAACAAATGTTAAGCCATTTCAGTCCTCACAAAAACATATAAGGTCGCTATGACTGTCTCCATTTTACAGAAGGGGAACCAAGGCACAGAGTGATCTCTGAGCTAGTAAGAGGCAAGGTCAGGATTTGAACTGATGGTCTTATCCCAGCACAGTCTCCCTCAGTATATGACTATCATCTAGCCAGTTATTAAAATTAGAACGTATGTGGGGCGCCTGGGTGGCTCAGTCTGTTGAGCCTCTGACTCTTGGTTTCAGCTCAGGTCATGATCTTGGGGTGGTGGGATCAAGCCCTGTGTCGGGCTCCATGCTCAGCAGGGAATCTACTTAAGATTCTCTCTCCCTCTGCCCCTCCCCATGCTCAGGCTCACTCTCTCTCTAAAATAAATAAATCTTAAAAAAAAAAAAAAAGGGACATAAGTGTTAATGTAGAACCATGGTTCTCAAAACCTGGTCCGGGGACCAGTGCATCAGCATCCCCTGGGAACCCGTTAAAAATGCACCTGCTCAAGTTGGAGAACCAAGGACAGAGAGAGCCTGGCAGGGAGAGCGGTGACCTAGGAGCAGAAGACCTGGAGTCTCAGCGTGCTTTGGGATGATTGCCGGCTGATGGCTAAACCTGGGCAGAGATCAGTCTTCTCATCTGTAGAATGGGGCGAGGACCAGGGTGGGGGCTGGAAGCTAGTAGAGTAGGTGACCTCTATGGTTCATGTGGGCTATGCTTTTCTAGGATTCTGGGATCATGAAAATAAAAAAAAAAAAGCATGGTGCAAAAGCCTCTTGATACCAAGGGAAGGGGAGGGGATTGTAAGCAAGTCATAGAAAAGCGGATGTTGTAAAATTCCACGTGTGATGTTTTAAAGCGAACGTAATTATTTATTTATTTATTTATTTTTAGAGAGTGTCCTTAACCGGCACACTAACCACGCCCTGGTTTCTGTAGGTCTCGGAATTAAGACAGCAGCTTCGAATCCGGGGTCTGCCGGTGTCAGGCACCAAGACGGCCCTCATGGACCGTCTGCGGCCCTTCCAGGACTGTTCGGGGACCCCCCTGGCCAACTTCGGGGACATCACGACGGTCACTTTCCCCGTGACGCCCAGCAGCGCGCTGCCCGGCTACCAGTCCTCCCCGTCCACCGGCGCCTTATCCAACGGCTTCTACCACTTCGGCAGCACCAGCTCCAGCCCCCCGATCTCGCCCGCCTCCTCCGACCTGTCGGCGGCGGGGTCCCTGCCCGACCCCTTCAACGACGCGTCCCCGTCCCTCTGCTTGCACCCGTCCCCGCTCCCCGCGTGCGCCGACGAGAGCCTCCTAAGCAGCCTGAACGGGGGCTCCCTTGGCCCCGAGCTGGACGGGCTGGACTCCGAGAAGGACAAGATGCTGGTGGAGAAGCAGAAGGTGATCAACGAGCTCACCTGGAAGCTCCAGCAGGAGCAGCGCCATGTGGAGGAGCTGAGGCTGCAGCTGCAGAAGCAGAAGAGGAGCACCTGCCCCGAGAAGCCGCCGCCCTTCTTGGCCGTTCCCGTCAAGCAGGAGGACGCCGCGTCCAGTTGTCCCTTCACGCCCCAGCAGAGACCTGGGAAGAGACAGGGCCTCAGCTCAGAGGGCCGAACGCAGGCCTGCGAAGCGGCGGGGCGCCGGCCCCCGGGGTCCGCTCCGTGCGCCGAGCCGGCCTCGGGCCCCAGCGACGCGCTGCCGTCCACGTTCCTCAGCCCCCAGTGCTCCCCTCAGCACTCGCCGCTGGGCGCTGTCAAAAGCCCGCAGCACATCAGTTTGCCCCCATCCCCCAACAACCATTACTTCCTCCCCTCCTCTTCGGGCGCCCAAGGGGAAGGGCACAGGATCTCCTCACCTGCCAGCAACCAGGTATGCGCTGCGCAAGTAACAACTCCCCGCCCCAGGCTCCCCCGTAGCACCCCGCTTTCCAGAAGTGGGGTGTGGCTGACAAAGGCCCAAGAGCTGAAGTTTGAATGGGTAGGGTTTACCAGAAGCCCAGAAGCAACCTCTGGTCTTCACCGGAGACCGGAGACTCTCTTCTCCGATATTGAGGTTAGCAAAATCTGCGTGTGAAAGGCTGGATAATGAATATTCTGTCCTTGTGGGTCCGATGAGCCTGTGTCACAGCTACTCAAAGGAATGCACAAGGCTGGGCTCCAGTAAAACTTTAGTTATAAAAACAGGTAGTGGGGGCGCCTGGGTGGCTCAGTCAGTTGGGCATCTGCCTTTGGTTCAGGTCATGATCTTGGGGTCCTGGGATTGAGACCCGTGTCGGGCTCCCTGCTCGGCAGGGACCCTGCTTCTCCCTCTCCCTCTGCTTGCTGCTCCCCTTGCTTGTGCTCTATCTCTCTAATAAATAAATGAAATCTTAAAAAAACAAACCAAAAAAAAAAAAACAGGTGGTGGGTCAGATTGCCAACCCCCTTTTCAGGACTCCTCGGCATAAAGCCTTACCACAGGCCAAACCAATTCATCAAGAGAGCCAAAGGGAAGTTACCAGACCTTACTATTCTCTCCGTGTAATGGTCTACATAGTGCAAATATTTTCTGAACACTACTATGTGTGTCAGACCCTGTTCTGGTCTCTGGGAATGAGGGATGAACTAACCAAACAAAAATCCCTATTCTCATGGGAAGACAGACAGTAAATAAAATAAACACGTAAAATATATCATGTATCAGAAGATGATAGATTTTTTTTTAAGATTTTATTTATTTGAGAGAGAAAGAGACGTAGCTAGAGAGAGCGCAAGCAGTGGGGGAGAAGGAGGGCAGGGAGCCCCATGTGGGCCTTGATCCCAGGACCCGGGTATCATGAGCCCAAGTGAGCCAAAGGCAGATGCTTAACCAATTGAGCCACCCAAGCGCCCCTAAAGGATGATAGATGTTATGGAGAAAAAGCAGGGAGGCATGGTGATGGAGCATTTGCAAGTTTGCAACTTTTAAGTCAAAGGTCTGGGGTCATTTAAGCAAATCTTTGAAAGAGATAAGGGAGCAAGCCTCACGAATATTTGGGGTGAAGGCATTGCAGGCAAAGGAAGAATAGCAAGAGCAAGGGCCCTGAGGTGGGAGTTGTGTGTGTAATACTCAGGGATCAGAAGGAAGACCAGTGTGGTTGGAGCTGAATGAGAGGTGGTTGTAGAGAGCTTACGGCAGTAACTAGTTCAAAGACGCGACCAAGGTGATCATCAGGGACTTTCCTTGTCCACAAAGCTAAAAAATCATTAGGAAAATCTACCTAAGGCTGAGAAAGAAAATTACATCATCAAAAGTCCTGAAATCTACCTTATGAGAAAGGAAAATAGGAAGAAAACCCACATGATTGGATCCTGCCACGTGCCCAGTATTAAGAGGCATGCCTCTGAGTAATCTCGTTAATTGTCACAACCTTATGAGCTCTAATTCTTTATTCTTTACTTGCCACAGAAGAAAATGAAGCTCAAGGAGGTTAACCCAGGAGCCCAGGGTCACAGGAACCCAGGGTCATCTGATGCTAAAATGCATGCCCTTTTCCCACTGAATGTTCTCTACCCTGGGAGTATGGGGTATGGCCATAGGTAATGGGAATATGATTTTACACACCCCAAAACAGCACATTCAAGTGAATGATGCCCACTTCTGAGTGGACACTCTGGGAGGGGCTGGGACGTCACATGGATTGTCATCTCTGTTGACAACATTTACTCAGTGCACGGTGTCCTAGGCAACAAAGGTAAAAATAGTTCTTGAAACACAGATCTGGACCCTAAGACCATTCTGACGACATGGATACTCTCAAGAAGAACTAACATTCATGCAGTGGTTCATAGTTTACAAAGCACTCTTTGAGGACATGATCAATTACATGATAAAAAAGATAAAGAGCAATATAGAATAACATGCCAGATCAGTGCTTCTGGTATCAAGTGCTGTACAAAGTGTTGGGGAAGGTGGAGGGAAGCAGATTGGTCATGAAGGGCTAGGAAGGTCCAGGAAGGTCTTTTTTGGGGGGCGGTGGAGGCCGGTCCAGGAAGGTTTTGCAAAGGGGTTAGACTCCATGAGAAACATAACATTAAAAAATGAGAGTCAGTAAAAGAACACTCCATGTGGGAAAAGATAGGGAGGTACAATGTGTAGGGCATGCTGAGGGAAGTTAATAGAATACAAGCTTTTGAAGGAAATGGTACCTGGCCTGGAGCATCTTGAACACTGGTTACAGTGGAGACCTTATGCTGTGGATGCATGGGAGCCATGGAAGGTTTTTGAGCAATGGGTGATGCATACAAAGCCAGATTTGAGACTTTGATAATGGGATTTAGGGAAGTTGAAAAGATAAGACACCAGGGCAGGGACCAGGAGTCTCAGCCAAAGCTCTCAAGTGTGCTGCTGGAGGCCACCTCATTGGTCATTTCTTCCTTCCAGAACTCAGGGCATGAGAGCCATCCTGCAAGCTTCTCTCCCCAGTCCTCCAGCCTCCACCCCCCTTTCTCTGGAGCCCAGGCAGACAGCAGTCATGGTGCTGGGGGCACCCCTCGTCCCAAAAGCCCAGGGGTCCAGCAAAAGGTAGGCACCTGGAAAAAGGTTTAAACTTGGCCTCTTTCCCTCTTCTGTGGCCCCGTCCCCCAAATGAGGAGGTCCAAAGGCAGAAATCAGTGACATTTTAGATAAAAAAAAAAAAAAAATCCACTGGAAACAGACTGGCATGGATGTACAGATAGAAATCAGGGTGTACTGAGGAGCCATTGCCCGGGGTCATCCTGGGAATCATGAGGGCTAGCATGAGTGTGGTCTGTTTGTGAAACAACACGGCAAACACACCAGTTTCTGTGGAGTCCAAGATTGGAATAGAGGCACGTGGGGAAATAACACTCGAAAAAGAGTGTTAAGGTGGAAGGGTCTAGAAAGGTCTAGAAAGGTGCAGAGAGTTCGAGTCACAGTGCAATCTCTCAGTGGAAAAAGGAAAAATGGTACATCCCAGCAGGTGGAAATCAGGGATGGGAGGGAGCCGGGATATGGGGAGTTCCAAAGACTAACGAAGAGGTGATTAGAAGGAGGCCAACAAGAGGGCCATGACACAGAAGCGCTACATGCCACAAGGAGAGGCAGGGCGTCCTTTGGGGATAGAGACCCTGAAATGGCCCTGGCATTCCATAGAATGCTCACAATACATAAGGCTGGTTCCTAAAGAGATACCCCAGCAGTGGCTTCAACTCTCTGCAAACGCACCCAATTAGGAATGAAACGCCTCCTGGGGGTGGGGGGGGGAGGTGAGGGTAAAGTACCCTGGGAATTCCTGGGGTGATGGACTTTTTCATATTCGACTGGACTCTTACTTTATTTGCTTTTCTCCTAACCAAACAGGGTTCATCCTAGAGGGGAAAATGAATCGGCAAGGTTCCCATCCTAACATGCCTCCAGATACATACTACAATATGCCCGTGATTTGCCAACGATATGTACTATTGTCAGTAGGATGCCCGTGATGTGTCCTACTGTCAATATACTGGCGTTGTTTCTAAACCCTAGCTCTTTTTCATCCCCCCTCAAATCAGTTTTTCCAAACTCAAGCCTGGAGTTTGTAACACAGAAGCCGTACCGTTTCTGACCCCATGAGCTGACTCTGACTTTCTCTGTGCTGTACCCCCACAGATGGCTGGTTTACACTCTTCTTCTGAGAAGACAGGGCCAAAGTTTTCCATTCCATCCCCAACTTTTTCCAAGTCAACTTCAGCAGTTCCAGAGATAACCCAGCCTCCGTCCTATGAAGATGCCGTAAAGCAGGTAACTTTGCAAGATGTGTTCTCTGTAGGGAAACAGGTTGCCTAAACGGATTTTTTTTTTCATTATCCACCTTCATGCAGTCTATAGATGCTGACATTGAGTGCATCGGGAGCCCCTCGATGAGAATGGGCCAAGTGTCTAGACGCTAATTGCAGAAAGGTGTTGGGTGTACATAGCTGGTGTGTGAGGCAGGCAGAGAAGAGGTTGGGCTGGGCATCCAGGTGCCTTTATTTAATGTCACCAGCCAGCCACAATTGTCACTAAGGTTGGACAAGTGCTCAACGTCTCTTATGTGAAATAGGGTCCATATCTACTTTGTAAGGATTCTAGAGAGTGTAGCACTTACGACCTTGTCCAGGGAGGGGGTAGGTACTCAAATAGAGGAGAGCGGTTGTCAGGGTGATAATTTGTATAAGGTGATACTTTGTTTAAAGTGATACTTTGTATAAGGTTCTTGTTAGTTTCAGAATTTAGTGATCCAGGCAAAGTATTGATGACCATGATCATGGAGATCCCTTGTATGCCTTGCTGTCATTTACAGTGGGAAATGTTCCAAATAAAAAGTAAACTCCAAAGAAAGGAAAGCAGTGGATGATCGTATATTTCAAATGGTCTGAGCTTGGATAAGATATCAGAAGGCCCTTTGCATGTGCCCAACCTCGCAAGGAAGAGCTACGTGGACTTTTGCACGCTGGCGTCCCCCAGATCAAAATCAGCTTGCAGCTAGGTCTCACGTGGTTTAAAGAGTATTTCTAAATGTCAGGAGATTTTAGGCAAAAAGTGGGCTTTCTCATTCCTGAAAAATCAGAGGATCTCTCAATGGTGGAGCCACAATTCTGGGAGTGGACAGTTGCCTGAAACAGAGTATCCACAGCCTCCTAGAACCACAGTGTGGGGTCTACATTCTACCCCTCTCTCTTGCTCTCTATTCGGCTCTTTTACATTACCTGCCAGACCCTATCGACATCTAATGCCTTCTGGACTGGTAGGTGACTCATTCTCTGAGCAGTGCTCCCATCATATTGATTATTGGTGCCTTGTGTATTGGGAATGGGCTCTCAAGGGAGTGAGAGAGGTATGGGCCCCTGTCCTCCCCATTTTCTGCCCCTGGTATCTGTAAGCATCCACGGATCCTTTGTGGTTTCAAAAGAAAAGAAGAAGGTCAAGCCAAGTGGATATCCATGAACGAGACTCTACCGTACAACTCAGATGAGCCAGAGGGAAGGGGTGTCTACCCTACGAGCATCAACAGGTGCCACAGGGCTCTTGCAGTGAGGAACCCGGAAAGCCTGAGCCACGTGCTGGGGCCACAACCACAGCCCCCACATGGGAGGCAGATCCAAGTCGCTTCAGAGTGAGTAAAATGGCTGTACTCTCTGTAATAAGAAGCCCTGTTCTTGGGATGGAAGCCACTCCACCGAGCTCACCCTGAAGGACTCTCTTGGGGAGCACTCTGCCTTCTCCCCCCCTTCTCTTCTTTCGTTCAGGAGTTTTCTCGTCTGAGGTGAACACTGAGCTTTAGTCGTGCAGTCAGCCATTTATACTCTTGCTCACAGCAGCATTATTCACAAAGAGTGGAAGCAACCCAAGTGGCCATCCATGGATGAATGGTTAACCAAAATGTGGTGAATACATACAATTAACACTAGTCAGTCTTTTTTTTTTAAATAATTTTTTATTGTTATGTTAATCACCATACATTACATCATTAGTTTTTGATGTAGTGTTCCATGATTCATTATTTGTGCATAACACCCAGTG